ATACTTTAATTTGTCTTTTAATGATAATACAACACGTTTTCTTTTCGATGACATATCGGTAATATTAAAAGTAAATACTGTATTTAAATCGTGATCAAATTTTCAACAAACAAACGTTCATATTGCATTAGGATTACTACTGACCAACGCTAACAGACTACCTATTGTTTAAAAGGCCCTCTGGTGACGCAAGAAGACGGATTTTAATAAAATAAAAAGCAGTTGAAACTGCATTTTTATGAATAAAAGTTTGACAAACTATTTATCGTTTTACGACGAGTAAAATTTTTTTGTCGCGTTCACGGCTTTTAAGTAATGCATAAACCTTCGAGGCGCGAGGCCCTTCGGACCGCGAGGCATAGGCGGTGGCCCACGTCGTCCATGCCTTACGCCGCCCTTGGTCATAGAAATGATGTAATTTGAATATAAATTATTTATAAATACGTATGTCAAGTTATATTTTTATTACTACGTAAAATATATTTAAGAGTTTACGACCACTGTGATGGGTGAGACGTTGTTGAAACAAAAAAAGTTATGCATTCCATCACGTACATAAACAGTGTCGTAATTCGCCAAGTGCAAATCAGCAAATTCGTAAAATTTTTGTTTATTTTGAACAATCTGGATAATCGAAAATCCGGATAATGGAGGTTCTACTGTATATATATATAAGAAATTATGAGTTTCCACAAATTATGTTTTCATATATCCTGAATAATATAAGAAAGGTAGCTACCAAAAAACAAAGTGATAATTACAAATATGTCGCACTAACCTTGTACAACTTTGCAGTTACTACTTAAAACATATCACAAACATTTTTTATCCATTTCTGGGATCTTCTTCGTGTTCTATAAGTCTTTCTGACGCAATTCCGATTTTTAATTAATTTAATTAACTGTTCAGGTCTCCAATGCTTCTCTATCTTTGGAATTTATTTTTTTAAATTTCAAAATTTGAATCTCCAAACGATGTGTGCTTGCGCCAGTTGTTATAGTGTTGTGTCATAAACATCCTGCCATGCTCTTGATAGTTGTTTTTCTTCTTTAAAATTGATTGACAGACCTTTGCAGTCCACTTTAAAAATTTCTAATGCCTCCAGATTTTGCAGTTGGTTTATATGTCAGGTTTGTCGAATTATTGTCACTTGTAGATTAGGTGTAATGTTATTTTCATTGGCATATATTGCTAAGGCAATATTGCTTTTCTTTTTTTCGATGTCCAATTTCTTTGCAGTTACTACTTAGAACATATGTGATATGTTCTAAGTAGTAACTGCAAAGCTGTACAAGGTTAGTGCGACGTATTTGAAAGGTAGCTACATTATATCTGTAATTCCTAATCTTGTATAATAAATTTGCAGCAGTTCTATACTTTTGTGGAGCACCTTATATATTATGTGGATGTGCGTACACACATATAAGTACATAAACTGATAAGGTAGCAATAATAAAAATATTTTAAAAAAAAGAAAATAAACAGAACAGACATCTAATTCATTTCAAGCAAATATTTTCTACAGTATTATTGATTTTTTAAAAAATTATATACAGGTGTTCACCTACTTACAAACATTTTGACATACATCTAAAATTTGCTTAGTTTGTGAAGTTCTGTTACCACTCGTGGCATAGCATTAAAATTCATCTTTGGCCAGTAATAAATAATTACCGTGAACTTATTTCTGTTGCATAAGATCAAAAACATTAGTTCAATTATTAAATTTGATTCTACTGCATATTGTCATTTTTTATTTTTGTACAAATTCAGAGGTTCCATCACTGCTCATGAGGTTGATTGAAGTCGGTAACATCAGAGTAACAGCATTTTTTGCTAAAGTTTGCAATATTTATAAACTTTTATGATTAGTACTTCAAAAATGCATCCAAAATGTAATAGTAAAGCTAGCAGTAGAGATAAATGCAAGTAGTGTCATTCTATCATTGTGAAAACTAAAATGTATTAGATAAAAAAAATCTATCTGAAATACTGCTACTAAACAGTAGCAAGCCTATATGCAAATACAATATTAATTTTGCATATTTCAAGATATTTTTCTGGGAGATGCCAGAGTAAGTCGTTAACTCATTTTAACAAAAGTATGGCTATTCTGGTTAAAATATTAATGACATACATAGTTTCGATAAATACAGAATCAAAAAGTGGCATAAAATCAAAATTATTTTAACTATGTGACTGATTTTTAGCAAAAAAATCAATTTGCCTAATAATGATACTGCAATGTCATTGCAAAAACATGCAATGTTCTTACTTGGGCTGCAATATGATATCCTTTCAGATAACATATTGCAATCCCAGCTGGGATAGTCAGGTATGGTGCTACCCCAAAGTAGTGGAGAATAAACATGGGAAATTTTTAAAGTATTTTTCCACGCGTTTTTTTCTCATTACCGTTTTGGAAAAAGATTTTGCAAACAGTTATGTCTAGTAAAGAAAAGCCTTTTTTTATTGTTACATAATTCATTTTTTATGTGAATTTTTTTTCGCAGTAGTTTTTGCGATACCCTCAAAAGAATTTAATGGCTATATCCGCCCCTCACTGTTGAGTGGATACATATTTCTGGCATGCAGAAAGTTAATAAATTTACATAAAAAACAAAAAAGCAAGAAAATTAATTAAATCAGCATTTTTTAATATAGCTATATAATTATATTTTTTTCACATAAAAAAATTTCACATTACCTTTTACCTTTAAAATCTGTTTCACAAAACATAAAATTTTAAAAATTTAGTAACGTATTTTTCATTTCTTTTAAATTTCCATTAATGTAAAAAATTAAATTACATAAGGATATGTTGTTTAAAAGTAAAAATTTATCATGACTATTCGGCCTTTTCAATTACACAAATTGCAGCAATATAAAATCTATCCTAGTTCGTTAACAAAACATGCATGTTTTTTTTATTCAAAAATACGATTTGGAAGAAAGTATCCAGTTCAAATAATTCGAACGAAATAATTTTCTCGGTAATTTTAAACTTATAACAGATATCACATTATAAAAATACCTTAATAATTTTATTTATTTAATTAGCAAACGTATATAAACTTTTATTTTTCCTCGGCACAAAATATACGCCGCCACACACAATAAAAAAAAACACCGTAACAACTTATAATTTTTAAAATTTATTTCTAATTCTTACGCAACTAAATTAATTCAATATTTCATATTAACTTGTACAAAAAAAATTATTTTTTTAAATCTTAAAGCAATCACCAATACGTTCAACTGAAAAATTATGCCAATCTGATAAGAACACATTGTATAACACATGGGAAATCAGAACTTAATTTTTTTTTTAATTAGAACTTTTAATTATTTAATTTAAAAAAAAAACCGAATTGGATTATTTAGAGATAAGTTTAAAGAGAAGAAAAGAAAAATTTGATTTACCATGTTGAGGTGCAGTCGAAGTATGGACGGGTTGAGGACTCCCCTGTAAAACAGAATTTTAAGTATTGTATAAGAAAACAAAGGCATTTTTCATGAAAATATACAATATATTACAATATGATTAATTTGTGAAATGAAATCTTACGTATTGTTTTGAAATTTCAGCGTCAGACATGTCGAGATTTCAAGATAAAGTAATCAATTACAACGTTTATAAAATCCATATAACTACAGGTTTGAACTTAGAAAATTTTCCAGTTGTCGCCATGATATCGGTCTCAAACCGGTCATTGGTTGACTTTAATCCATTCTTACTATCATTTCTGCGTACCGAAACGAATCAAATTATTTTTCTAACGTTAAATCGACAATGCCTAATACTTTATAACACGTTAACTTACCTCGATCTGCGAATAAAATTGCTCTACGAACGAATTCATATCGTAGTTTTATTGTCGGAATCGATGGCGACCACAAAAACAGTCTAAGTCCAATAGATGAGTGTCTGAGCATGCGCTACCATTTTTCCAACCACCCGGATGTACAATAAACAAATGCTTTAACGGTGTGTTTGGTCACTTTACAACGTATTTTACAATAACGAAAATGTATTTATTAACGTCGTACATTTAAGTTTTTAAAACGTTGTTTCGTCACGTAAAACAAACCGACGAAATTATTCGACTCTTAACCACGTTTTAGTTTAAAGGATAAAAAAAAAAAAAAGTCGAATGCCGCTTGCCACCATTAAACAATCGTTGACGTCAGATCGAGATAGTTTTTAGATAAGTTTATTGGAGAAAGTTGGAATTTTATAGAAATTTTAATGACGTATATTTCATTTAAATTATTTAATTTATTTTTTGTTTTGTTTTTTTTTTAACTCGACACGTTTCGTTTTAAAATTAACCAATCAGAATATAGCTATCGTCATTGATGAAATGATACGTTCGCGTAATTGAGTAATTTTCGAGTTACGTTCGCGTAATTGAGTAATTTTTACATCATTCTCAGAATCGGGTTATTTTCCAAGTGAATTATGAGCAAAATGTGGAAAGAAATGTGTTTAGAATCGACTCAAAAAATATTTTTCGTTATTATTAAAGTTCAGTGACCAGATTGTCTCCCACTTAAGCACAATGACTCGACTATTCGTTATATGTGACACAATCCTATGCTCGCTTTCTGTTATTAATTAACGTTTCCTGTAAAACTTGTGCACGTTAATACTTTACCGATACATTTTATTTCATTTCGTTGGCCTGCAGTTAAAAAAAAAAAATCAAAAATTCTCATAGTAGTACGTTCCAACAAGGTAGTAATTAGTCATGGTAAATGCACAGTATAAGCATTTCCCGATTGATTGTGTGGTAAAGATAACCTTTGTACTGTTAAGACCGCTTGTTTAAACTGGAAATTCGTAGATTTTGCACTTATGATTAAGGTGACATTATTTAGTAAAGGTTAAATTACATTCCAGTCGATTTTTATACTTGTTGAGAGCCTTGGATAAGTTTGGAAGAATATTAAGCTTATTTGCTTTGAGTAATTTATTTAAATTATGTTAAATAAGACATTAAATTTAATAGGAAATTAAAAATTTTGCCCTGCTTTTGGATTAATCGTAATAAAAATTTCTTCGATAAAACATTTTTTATTTGTTAGAAATTAAAACATCATTAATTTCGCTCTATCATATTACAGTATTTGTGCACAAATGTTTCTTTTTATCATTAAAGATTTTTGAAATTGGTTACTTCTCGCAGCTTTTTATGTAATTAGAAACTTTCATATAAATACTGTATTGGTATTATCAACTTATATGACATTAACATAAGAAAATCTGCTCATAAATTTGTTATCATTCTAAACTGAAGAAAACATTTTTCGATAAAATATTATTTTGTATGCTTTTATAACATTCTAAATATAATGTACTATTTTCGCTTATAAAATTCTCATTATCTGAAAGATTATAACTGATGCCGATAGTAATTGGTTATTCGACTGTATTAAAAAGATTAAATACATTATATAAATAAAATTCAACAAATTGAAAATCATTCAATCTATGAAGAGAAGAAAATTTTTTTGTAAGATATCTCCTATATCGGTGATGGTAAAACTGTTATCTGTGTGATGATTTTCAGATACCTGTATTGAATGCTCAGAAAGTATTAGTTATTTATAAATTATAAAAAATAGTGTGAAAAGTAAAATTATATATGTAGTGTGAAAATGGAGTCCTAAAACTTATGAAAAGTTTTAAATTATGAACAAGGGTGATCTAATCACAGGTTACTTAATTAATGCACTTTTAAATGTTAAAGATGCATTAATTAAGCTAATTATGAACCTCAGATAGAAAATTATCATGAAATAAACAGCATTGACTTTTGCATTAAATGTTTGTTTCCATTACAATCAGTTTTTTTTATCACTTATATAGAGTTTATTGTTATTTTTATGATATACATTAAAAGTTAAGTAAAATTTGTAATGTATTTTAGTTATTTATATTTTTATCACACAAATACTTGACCTTTACTTTGGTGTTACTAAAATTTAAATTTAATTTTGATCCACTTTCAGAAAAAGGTTTGCCATCACTGTGTTATGTTATAGAAATTCTCAGATGAAAATATTACTTTAAAATTTAATTATAAAATCATTGTCAGAATATATTTGAACAGATGGTAGCTATAGTAAATGTTCAGATGTATGTAAATTGTAATTTGATTAACATTAATACATTAGATTTATTGCAGAATACAGCTTTATCTACATTTAGAATAAAATTTGTAATACTTGAAATTATATTTTTTAAATGAAAATATAATACTGTAACCTTATTTTAAGCTGTATAGTTTTATTATTGAATAATTAAAAATTTTATGATGTATTAGTCTCATTTGTTAACAGATAATAATCATGAATTTAAAATATTTTTAAATAAAATTTTCAATAAATGATTTTTTTAATAAATGATAATTGAGATAAAGTAATAAAGTAAAAAAAAATTTTAATTATTACAGATAATAGAATATTTTAGAATAAATGAATGAAAGCAAATTAGATCAAAACAAATTATATTTTTAGACTTTGTGTTAGTGATAATAGATCTTACATTTGCCTATAATTAGCAATAGATATTATAAATCAACAAATGAAATTTGTATTATTCTAAATCAAATATAAATTTATATGAACAAAAATTGATGTTTTAATATTTTCTATATATTAATTAGTGCATAATAAAATGTAGTTATTTTGTATTATGAAAATGTAAATTTTATGTACAGTACTGGTTCTAGATATTGTATTTTATTTTAAAATAATTTTTTTGTTAATAAGTATATGGTTTCTATACATGTATTTATAATAGTTAGTCAAGAAATGTAAATTAACATGAATAATAGTATAATCATTTTAAAATATTTTCTAAGTTGACAGAGGCAAATAGTACAAATATAATGAAATAATACTCTGTGAGCTATATCTATTTCATTAAAAGTACAGTAATTAGTAACTTGACTCTTTTAGTGTAAATAAAGCCAATTTATGATCCTCTTCTTTAAGTCTATTAGGCTAAACTTGTTTTGTTGACATTCTTGTCTTTCCATAAAAATTCATTTTTATAGTATAATTTATCTATAAGAATTTATATTTCTGTTCAATTTATATAAGATTTAAAAAGTTACTACTGTATTTACAATTGGAATATATACATGACAAACAACACGCTTTTTTTTTTTGCTAACTAAATCCTGTCAATTGCAACTCTAAATTTATTCTCTCTTCAGACAAATTAGATAAGTGTTAATTAACAAAATGACTAATATGATGTGTTTTTATCTACGATTTCCTTTATGGTTATTCATTTTGCAGTGTAAAGTTCCTGAAATAGCACATCTATTTTAAAAACTTTGTATTAGAAAATTAACCATAAAATGACTTTTATTTAATTGTATAGTATAAATATAGTGTTTATCAATATTATTTCTGATTATAATTAATTATACTACAGTATAATCAATTTTCATTAAAAAATATGATTTTCTTTCCAGTTATATTTAATGTAACTTCTACATATAAGTGCCGATGGTTTCCATGTTTTGTTGACATAGAGCAGATTCTTTTTTATACTGCCTCATTGGTAAGCAAAGTAACAGTTACTGCCAGCAACAAAGTAAGCTAAGTAGAAAGTAGATACTGTGCTAAATAAATTTCTTGTCATCTACATGCAACCATGTTTATCATTTAAATTCTTATATTCTTTTTAAAACTATTTAAAATGAGGAAAAATTATAGAAAATAATCCAATAAGTATCAAGTTATAAATAGTCATTGATTTCCTTTAAACTTAATAAATAAATCTTATGAAATAATTTATTAATACCAATGTTTACTGGATTTAAATGTAACAGCCGAATAAAAACAGTTAAGTAACAAGACGAAGATTGTTTGGGATGATGTATATCTTCATACAATTGTAATTGAGTCAATAATGAATAAAATTATTGACAGTGAATGGAACATTTTACTCCATTATATATTCAATATTTTATTTGTCCTGTTATATCAAGTATTTGCCTTCATGAATATTCTTTATTTCCTAGATTCATTTATTCAAAATATTAATTATTGACATAATAATAATTTTAGAGCTTTGTAAATAAATGAAAAATGTATTTTAAAAATATTGTTCATTTATTCTAAAACTTTAGTTTGCTTCATTTTTTCCTTAAAAGCACATTGTCTGAAATGTATTATGCGAGTTATGTTATAAAGTTATAATCAAGTTTAAAATTATATATTCAAACGTGTATCACTTGATGATTGATTGATCAAATGAACTACAAGTATGATCCACAGATCATCTTTCCCAATAGAATGACTTTTGACTTTTAATACATAAACTTCTTATAAAGTATATATCTCTCTCAATACAAATGTTTTTCGGGTGATGCTTATGTAGAAAAAATTGATATTTGCCTCAATACAATTCGTTGAACATCAAAATCATGGGAAAAATATATCAAGTATCAACAAATGGAGAGTACATCTTGGATGTACATTGCTGATGCCAAGAGAGGTATCAGCATCATATCATTCATTTTGACCAACACCACCTATAACAGAGAAAGTTTAAACATGCTTTCTTGACATCACTTAATCAATTCTACAATTTATAGAAGTGTCAGAAATATTAAAAATGAGCTACAATTTGTATTGTTGTATATTTTTGCCTGCATTTTTTTAAAATAAAAAGCCTATTTACTTTTCTCTGTAATTTGTACTGTTATATCATAAGTATAATGTTTTCGTATGACATGCTGGTTGTACTATTACTAGTTGGACACATTACTAAATACAAAGCAATTGTTAAACCACACCAACACAGTTAAACTGGTTTAATCAGGAAATGATTTAAGCATTTTGCATCTTAATAAGATAATTTGTTATTTATATAAGAGTACTGTATATTATTTTAGTTACATTTTTTGAAAATTAGGAGATTTGAGTTGATGTAACACATCATAATTTTCTTGCAAAATGACATTTTGGAATGGATTGCTGACATTAAGCAGAGAAAGTCTGTATTGCTATTTGTGTAACAGAACAGTGCAACTTCCATTCTGAAAGCACTAAAAGAAGAACAAAATTACGACTTAAAAGTTTTAGGAGTTATTAATATATTGAATTTAATGTATACTGTAAGTAATAAAACAGGTTTATATAA